CCCTATATTTTAACGTTGTAAGTCGAAAAACTAACTGCCGTCTCACCAGGGGACCTTTTTCATGAAGCACGGCCTACTATATTACTTATTTTATTTTGTATAGTATACTTCAGGAAGCACAGGTTACTGTATCACCCATTTTACTAACTATAATATTCCTCGTGATATATTTTACTGTATGACTCATTATTCCTTACAAGGGAAAATCAAATCAACTTTTTGTTTCCCAAAGAAGTCAAGTAAGGAAATTAAGTCGGTCGGTCGAAAATAAGTAAATATTTTTTCTTATTCACAGTAAAGTCTCAGACAGCTCTTCTCTTGAGGGAGAGACATAATAATAACGTTTAAACCATATGTTTATTAATACAAGCTCATAGCACATTGACGAACGTTTCCTATGTCGGTGATGTTTGATCTATGAATCTTAGTGTAGTTTTTGTTTGTTTGTCGCCAAGTCCTTCTTGAACTCGACTGACATGCATCGCACCATTTTGTGTAGTCTGTTGGTCAGGATTTATTTTAATGTAGCCTCTGCAGAAAACTATCGGTTACAATGTCACAGTCAAAAACTTAAAAAAATGCCTTTTTTTTTAACGGTCAGGACGTTTTTTTTTCTTTAATATCCTGAAGAATATTAACTTTTCTGACAAATCTTGAAGAAAATGCTTCTACTTATCCCCAAGTATATGATAGGTTTAATGTAGAAATTTTTAATAACTTATAATTCAACTTTTTGCTTCTGTGCTGTATCTTCCTATAGAAAATGACTGCTTCAGCGTCTTTCAGACTTGTTTAGTCATCACTTTTGTTAACAAAAAAGAGAGATTATAATTAATGATACTGATTATAAAGTGCTTTTCGGGGATTTCACTTTTATTTAGAAACAAAAAGTGTTCTCTTCAACTCCCCCCCCCCTTTTTTTTAGCTGGCTTCGCGGAAAAAAAATTTAAACCATGTGAAACTTAACAACAAATAGGCAAAACTTTTAGGGAAATTTCAGGAATAGTGACAATGACGTAATGACGTAGATGTAAGTGGGCAATACTGTCGGGAATAGCTATCACAACGTAGTTGTAAGTAGAGAATTATACGTTCGTGAATAGTTACCACGACTTAACTATAAGTGGAGAATATTCTCGGGAATAGTTACTACGTCATAGTTGTAAGTAGAGAATTATATGTTCGTGAATAGTTACCACGACTTAACTATAGGTGGAGAATATTCTCGGGAATAGTTACCACGTCATAGTTGTAAGTAGAAAATTATATGTTCGTTAATAGTTATCACGACTTAACTATAAGTGGAGAATATTCTCGGGAATAGTTACCACGACTTAACTATAGGTGGAGAATATTCTCGGGAATAGTTACTACGACATAGGTCTAAGTAGATAATTATACGTTCGTGAATAGTTACCACGACTTAACTATAGGTGGAGAATATTCTAGGGATTAGTTACTACGTCATAGTTGTAAGTAGAGAATTATATGTTCGTGAATAGTTACCACGACTTAAGTATAGGTGGAGAATATTCACGGGATTAGTTAATACGTCATAGTTATAAGCAGAGACTTGTACGTTCGGGAATAGTTACCACGACTTAACTATAAGTGGAGAATATTCTAGGGATTAGTTAATACGTCATAGTTATAAGCAGAGACTTGTACGTTCGGGAATAGTTACCACGACTTAACTATAGGTGGAGAATATTCTAGGGATTAGTTAATACGTCATAGTTGTAAGTAGAGAATTATATGTTCGTGAATAGTTACCACGACTTAACTATAAGTGGAGAATATTCTCGAGAATAGTTACCACGTCATACTTATAAGCAGAGACTTGTACGTTCGGGAATAGTTACCACGACTTATCTGTAAGTGGAGATTGAATACTTTCGAATAATTGCCATGACGTTGCTTAAATGGAAAGTAGTAAGTAAACAGTGATCCCAGGAATAGTTACTAGAAGTATAAGTAAGTAGACAGGAACTGTGACTTTAGTGTGGCAGTAAGTGAATAATTAATATGACGTGCGTTTTCTGGTCACTTTATTAGGACCCTCACCTTGACCTTTCGCCGCGGTAATAGCCTATGCAGCATATATTTCATAACACGTCAGAAGGGGTTTTATGTGATACCTTAGAACATCTTTACTTTTGTTCGTAACTTAGTTTGAGGGGGCTAAAATAATGTGATCGGATACCGTCTTGACGTTTTATATAAAGTACAAGATATATATGTTGCAATCAAGTAAAACGCCTAAGATACCGAAGCAGATAGTTTTTAGACGAATATTGGCTGCCAATAGTATAAATCTGTCACAGAAGTCGCTCTTGTCTAGCGATAGGTAGTAGGAGTGGCTTAATAAGTTTTCGTTGGCCAAATGACGTGTTAGGGAAAATTGGAGATAAATCAGGAAAGTTATACTAGGTTACGTTTTTCAAAGAAATCTACTTATCCGACAGAAATTTCAATCAACATCTGTTTCTGTGTTCCCTAAGTAAGGTATACCATATTGTTTGTTTATTATTACTTTCATTAACAGTATTAATACATCGAATGTCATTGTTTTTAATTGCATTTTTTGTTATTATATTTTTATTATAGAGATTGTTTTCTATTGTTAGCTTAGTATATGTATTGAGGACCAACCTAAACCTTCTAATCTGGCTGAATTTTATGAATATTATTAGGATTACGGCCGAAAATATCGTTAACAGCAAAGGTATGCAACTGATGAAACAATGCAAACTATGTTTGATTATCTATACTGATTGTCTGGTTGACTTTTAATTTCATTCTAAGTACATAGCTTACTCTGGTAGGAAGTTAATATCTCCTGGAGAATTTTTGCATTGAATGGATAGTGACTAGTGAGACAAAAACTAGATATAATATACTATTTATATGTCTCGGACTCAAAATTTGTAATAAAGTAACTACTAGGAATGTGTGAAGAAAGCTGAAGAGAAGGATGACTTATTACCGTATTACCATCAATCTGAATATAGAACTAACGCTAGACGAAACTTCATTAGTGTTTACATCATTCTTTCTCAAGAGATGAGCCCCCTCTTCCCCAATTCGCGAAGAGAGAGAGAAAGCGACAATAAGGACAAATTCATGGAAGGGTAAATTTAATTAGTGCCCAAATGTCATTGCTTACATGAAAAGATGGAACAAAAGAAAGGAAAAAAAAAAAGGTAAATATTATTATTGTCAATGTACCACTGTCTAGTCTTCCCTTAGCTTGTCTTTAAATGATTAATTCAACCAAAACCAGTTCGAATCAAATGCAGTTTTATTGCATTTTATTTTGTAATCGTTGTACTTTAATCTATGTATATATATATATATATAATAGCCACACGTCCGTCTCTCTGTCACGCTCTGTATCTCCTGAACTGTTAATCATAAAGGAAAAATATGTATACAAAATGTGTTCTTTTCTTGAGTACA